TTTTTTTTTTTTGGTTCTTTCTTTCCCTGCCTGTAAACTTGATTTTCCCGGGAAAAAAAAAATCCGACTCCGGTTGCCTTGCTCGTTTTGCTTTCACGGTTAGTCAATATTTCTGTATATCTCTGTTTGTTTACATGGAAAATAATCTCATTCCACCGTTTTCCCGCGAAAATTTCTATTTTAGGAGATTTGAATCCTCCATGTTGATCTCCAATGAAACAATTAGAGGAAAAAATTGTGTGTAAAATGTGTGGAATTTGTGTTTTACGGGAAGAATTTTTAGTTTTTGGGATGATTATTGATTCTGATTTTTTCCTGTGATTTTTAGGGATTTCCTGTGATTTTTTGGGGTTTTCTGTGCAATTTTTTGAGTGAAGAAGAATCATAGCTGGTGGTTTGGAACCAAAAGGAAGGAGGGAACTAGATTCAAGAGAGAGAACTACTACGTTTTGAATTTTTCTTTTTTAGATTTGATTTGATTTTGGGTTGGTTGGGTTTGATGAATATTGCTATATGGAGTCGGAGGTATATTCAACTCCCAAGGATTTTGTGCAATGTTGCGATTGTGGATGTAGTTGTTCTTTGATCAGCACTTCCTCTGGTGCCTGGATTCGGTCTGTGAAACGAAAATATGATGAATTCGAGGCTGGAAACCGGTTCTATGTGCCGGAAATTGATGTTTGTTTCAATGCTAGAGTGCAAATTGAGAATGAGTGTGTTGCTCTGCGGGAGATGGTGTGTAATCAACAAGAAGCAATACAGGATTTGCATAGGGAACTGGAGGAGGAGAGAAATGCCTCATCTTCGGCGGCGAATGAGGCCATGGGGATGATATTGAGATTGCAGAGGGAGAAGGCAGAGATCCAGATGGAATCGCGACAGTTCAAGCGGTTTGCAGAGGAGAAAATGGCTCATGACCAGCAGGAGATTTTGGCAATGGAGGATTTGTTGTATAAGAGAGAACAGGCTATTCATTCCCTTACTTGTGAAGTGCAGGCTTATAAGCATAGAATGATGAGCTATGGTCTCACAGAGGAAGAGGCTGAAGGTGGGAAGGGTGAGTATAGTGGTAACATGAGCATATCTGGAAACTCTGATACCCAGTTTGATGTCCCTGCGTTTGATTATCCGCCTCTGAGGTGTAATACGAATGAGATCCCAGTGGATGATGAAGGAGAAGATGTGGAGAAATATGCCTTTGGTGAGACCCCTCATGCCCAGGAACAACTGAGGAACTTGGAATTCAGGATCTACCAAATGGAGAGGAATCCCAGCAGCAATCAGCTTAATCAGTTGGATGGGGATGTCTCTAGAACAAAGAATGTAATGGAAAAGGTGATAGTTGGTCATTCACCTAAGCTGCTGCCTAGACATTTCAGGAGATTTTCAATTGATAGTTTAAATTCGATGGTGGAGACGCCTGGGTCAGCTTCAGATTTTGATTCACCCAGGTTTAACACTACCTTCAGAAAGATGGAGAACATCTCAGAAGTAGAGGTCAAGTCTTACTCTACAAAGATGGATACTGTGTCAGAAGATGGAGATGATATGAGTGACAGGGTTTATACAATTGACTCTGTGCATAATGGAGTCCCATATAACGCAAGCACAGAACCTAAAGCTGGAGTTGGAATTTGTGATGATTTTGTAAACACTCCAAGGGAGTCTTTGAATCTGCCTGACATTGGTGATCCTGATATTGTGAAACTCTACACGAGACTTCAGGCACTTGAGGCTGACAGGGAATCAATGAGACAGGCAATTATGTCAATGCGGACTGACAAGGCTCAATTGGTGTTATTGAAAGAAATAGCTCAGCATCTGTGCAAGGAAAAGTCACCTGAAAAGCAGAAACCTATTAGGAAGCTCTCTCTTCCGGGAGCCTCTAAGTTCATGTCAGTTTTCAAGGTATTATTTGCTTGCAGAATCATATATCATTTAGCCATGTATAGCTAGTCGTTGGTTCAGTTTTATGTTTATCCAATTGTGAAACAGAATAGCTTTCATCATTTCATTTACTTCTTCTTGACCTTGTTCGTTTTACCTGTTTGTTTGGATTTTTCCCCTGAAACCTGCTTGTTCCCTGGACTGCTCTAGGCATTGTTGGGAGCATGGAAACAAAACATTTATTAATATCATGTCCATCAGATTGTTCTATATTCTATAGAATCAGAGAACCTTGCAGTATTTCTTGGTCTGTCTTACCACATAAAGTGTATTAATTTAATTCTTTCATGTTTTGTGTTCAGTGGGTGTCATCTTTTGTTTTCTGGAGAAAGAAGGCTCACCGTAGCAAGTAAGTGGACTGTTGCAAGCAATCAGTAACAATTTTAAATTTCATTTTAAAGCTGCATAGTTTGGTTTCTTAGAGTTGATATTTATGAATAGTCTATGTTAATGCAACAAAATTAAGGTTAAGTGCATACTTACAGCCCCTTACAAAAAAGGCAAGAAATGTAGCCAGTATGCCAAAAGAAAGAATTTCAACTTCTTGACATGCGTGCCTATTTGGTTTGTCAGCCTTGAGGCAGCAGAATTTTTGTATTGTGGGACACTAGCTTAGGCATTGAGAAATTTCCTATTCTTAAAACTGTTGCGGATATGTATTGATCCAAATCTCAGATTTATGAATATGCATATCCTATAGAATTCTTAATTTGGTGATGTTTGAATCTGGATACATCAATAATGGTATATCTGATATAACTTCAGGTACATGCATGGGATGTCACCCAACAATGTTGGCTTGTTAATGCTTCTGGACAAGGGCCCTCGAACAAGGCAGTGGAGATGTCTTTTAAGCACACAAGTCTGACAACAATCATAACCATGAGTGATGAATGGGATATGGAGAAGCTATGACCTGTAAATTTTGCATCCTTCTCTGTTGATTCGTTATTACTGGGGAAGGAAATGGGAGTTTTGTGCAGTGTTCTTTTATTTTTCCTTTCTTTGGGATTGAATGTATTTTGTTGGTTGCCCAGTGAAACATGGATGCACATGGTGCTCCGTGCTCATAATAGTTTGTTGAATGTCAGCTTGAGGTATGTGGTTCTGGATAGTCCTCTCCTGTATATTTCAGGATTCTTGTATGATTTTCTCATTCAAATATGCAGTGCCTATTCTTTCCTTATCAGAGTACTAGTAGTTTTTAGACTTAATTGATGCAAGTTCAATTCAAGGACACTTCCTTCTGCTTTCGCCGTTGGTTATGAGTAGCTGGGTTGTCTATTATGGGCACAGGGAAAAAGGGGACATTGGTAGGTGAACAGCTACGATCAACCTAGTTTATGCGTTGATGCCTGATTTTTCCATAACTTAACAATTAAGCAAGTGCATCTGAATTGACAGATTCCGGATATATTTCGTTGTTGATAGTTTAGACAATGACACATTATTGTGTGACATGGTGTCATAATTGCTTAGTTGGCTGCCACTTGTATGTGATTGTTGACATTCAGGGATAGGTTGTGTTACCACTATTCCCATTTTGAGTTTGGATTCGGTTCTTGTTTGGGCTTTCTTCCAAACCCGTCAAGCTACGAAGCCGCCTGGAAACTCAGATTACCGTCCCAACTTCTATGTATATGACTAGCCCTTTGTTGCAATTCTGTTTCAATTGCATGATTGAAGTCTTGGGACGAATATGACTAAGCCCCCTGTCACTGGGATACGCCTAAAAGGACCCTAACAGCCACATGAGTTGATGCATACAGATATATGTGCCGCCAAGTGAAGAGTTTGTTGAATGTTCTGGATTTTCTCAAGAAGCTAATTACCATTAATGAAAATATTATAGTTATATTGTGACGTGACAATGTGACATTGTGAGTCTATTATATATGTTGTTATATAATTAATTTTTTATTTAAAATTTTATTTATAATATTATATATATTTATTTAATAATATATTATATCCATTTAATAATTCATTATGATTATAAGCCTACCTATCCTATTGTAACTACAATTAATAATGGAAAAGAACCGGGCTTGAGCCCAATAGTTCGCTCATAAATCTTAGGGTTTGGATCAGGTGGAGATCAGAGTTTTGAATTCTATTACCGTGAACTCCACCAACTTGCGGTTTAATGGTCGCGTGCCTCATTCGAGGGGAGAAATGTTATCATTCTGAAAATCTCAGTTGCTAACAACTAAGTTGTACTAACTTACTAATCATTACCATTTGTCAAAAAATTGTCAAAAAAATTAAGAATGGGAAAAAAAATGTTTCTCTTCTTCCCTACTGAAAGTGCTGTAACATAACTGTTACTGTTATCAACAATTCTTTGAATCTTCGTTTATGGACCATAAATGATTACGAATTCAGCATATCTCTCCGCAGTTCTGTTGGTATCAGAAAATGAATGGAAGCAGCACAGTCTTGAACACGCTAAGATTGAAGAACCCCAAACTTCTGTTGCTTGAATCCTGCTCCACCTTCTCCGACCTCAAGATCATCCATGGCTACATGGTCAGAACCCACACCATCTCTGATGTCTTCTCCGTCAGTCGTTTGATCGCCTTCTGCACCGACCACCCTGCATTCAAACCGAGCTTGCTAGATTACGCTTTACGCCTCTTTTCCCAAATCCAAGCCCCCAATCTGTTCATCTACAACGCCTTGATTCGGGGGTTTTCAGCAAGCGAAAACCCACATTTGTGTTTCCATTTCTACACCCAGTTGCTTTGCGCTGACATTCTTCCTGATAATCTCAGCTTCCCCTTTTTGGTGAAGGCGTGTGCTGCGTTGGAATCCATCCATAGGGGGACTCAAGTTCATGCGCAGATAATCAAGCATGGATTCGAAAACAATGGTTATGTGCAAAATTCTCTGGTTCATATGTATGCTACATGTGGGGATATAAACGCAGCGAGCAGTATTTTCCGGCGAATGAATTCTTTGGATGTGGTTTCCTGGACTTCGATGATCGCAGGCTTCAACAAGTGCGGGGATGTTGAATCTGCACGCAACCTGTTCGACGAAATGCCTGAGAGAAACTTGGTTACTTGGAGTATAATGATCAGCGGCTATGCCAGGAATAATCATTTTGATAAAGCTCTGGAATTGTTTCAGATCCTTCAAGAGCAAGGTGTGAGGGCAAATGAGACGGTCATGGTGGGTGTGATATCCTCCTGTGCTCATCTAGGTGCTCTGGAAATCGGAGAAAGAGCTCACAATTACCTTGTTAGGAACAGTTTGGAGGTGAATATGATTCTCGGAACAGCTCTGGTGGACATGTATGCGAAATGTGGAAGCATTGAAAAAGCTATCCAGGTGTTCGGAGAAATACCTGAGAAGGATGCTTTGAGCTGGACTGCTCTCATTTCTGGGCTCGCTATGCATGGCTATGCAGAAAGAGCACTCCATTACTTCTCAGAGATGGTAAACTCAGGACTAACCCCAAGAGATATCACCTTCACAGCAGTGTTATCTGCTTGCAGCCACGGAGGATTGGTAGAAAGAGGATTAGAAATCTTTGAGACAATGAGGAAAGAATACAGTATTGAGCCTCGATTAGAACATTATGGATGTGTGGTGGATTTACTTGGACGAGCAGGGAAGTTAACCGAAGCTGAGAAGTTTGTCCAGGAAATGCCAGTGAAGCCTAATGCTCCCATTTGGGGGGCTCTTCTTGGTGCTTGCCGGATTCACAAGAACGCAGAAATCGCAGAACGAGTAGGAAAAACTCTTATCAAGCTGTTGCCAGAGCACAGTGGCTACTACGTTCTGCTCTCAAACATCTACGCACGCACTGGGAAGTGGGAAAATGTTGAAGGTATGAGGCAGATGATGAAGAACAAAGGAGTTCGAAAACCACCGGGGTACAGTCTGATTGAGGTAGATGGGAAGGTTCATAATTTTACCATGGGGGACAGAACACACCCTGAGATAGAGATGATTGAGAGAACCTGGGAAGACATACTGAGGAAGATAAGATTAGCAGGATATAGGGGGAATACAGATGATGCACTGTTTGACATAGATGAGGAGGAGAAAGAAAGTACACTTCACCGGCATAGTGAGAAGCTTGCTATTGCTTTTGGGATTATGAAAACAAAGGCTCCGGTGCCAATCCGGATAGTGAAGAACTTGAGGGTGTGTGAAGATTGCCATACTGCTACCAAGCTGATCTCGAAGGTTTTCGACCGGGAGTTGATTGTGAGGGACCGAAACCGGTTCCACCATTTTAGAGAAGGTTTCTGTTCATGTAAGGATTACTGGTGAGAAAACCTGAATACCAATAACAAAGATGATACATAAAAGTTACAGTTTCACTTATAAATTTATAAAAATATCATTAATGAAACTAGAGTCTAGAACATCCAAGTGCAACCATGGTGCTGATTTAATGGCTGAAATGGGGCATAGCTTGCCGTTGGGTACCACAGGTTTAGCACTCATCCACCTGGTCTTCGCTCCTTTATTGAAGGAGACAAGCAAGGCGTCTTTCATTTACGCCATTAGTCTTTCATATTTTCATTTCAGTTGTATCAAAAATACATACATATATATATATATATATATATGTAAACAACAAAAAGCTGAATATTTAAACTGCCAGAAGCTGAAAATACGTTTCTTCTCTCGTGCGCTTCTTCTTCTGTGCACCGCCGCTTATTACTTCTCCGGTTCCGATTCTGGGTGTCTCTGCTTCCATAGGTATGGATACCTTCATCTGATTTTCCCTTTCGTTTCTGGCTTCTTATATATATATATATATATAGAGATGAGAAGCCGGAAAATTAAGGGGTGAAATTCTTCATCGAGGATTTGTCTTAAATATCCTTTATAATACTTTTATCAATTATTATTTTTTTAAGAACAATTTTAATTTTGATTGATTTTTTCATTGATTTTTTTTAGAATTTTAACAAAATTATGAAATTAATATATTTTTTTGTTTCGTCCTATGTCTTTAATATTTTTTTATCAAATAAATTATTTTATTAAATGAGAAACCATGCTTCATTATGATAATACTTAAATAATAAATTAACTAATTTATTAAATATTATTTTTTTATTTTAAAGTGTATATTTTTACTAATCTGTTTATTAAAAAAAATATTTTTTATCCCAAAAAACTAAATAATATGAAAGATTAATTAAAAACTAGAATATCAACGACTAAATAAAGATTCAACGCTTTCTTATAGTATTTAAAAGTGTGCTTATAATAAAAAAGTTATAAGATGTATTAGTTTTAAATTATAAAGTATAAAAGATTATAAATAGTTATATGATAATCATTTGACGTTTTATATGAAAAATATAACATTTAAAAACTTAAAAAGGTGGAAAAATAATCGCCTTCCCATACCTCTTCCCTCCACCCCTCTATATATAAGTTATGATTTATTTACACATAAATTTGATTATACTTACACAAAATATGATAAAAAGTAAATAAATTTTAACCATTGAAAATAAAGACATAAATAATCAAAATTTTATATTAATATATAAAATTTGTGTATAAATAGATTTAACCATATATGTATAAGATAGATATTTAATTTAGGTTTCTCGTTTCTGACTCCTGTTTTTGGAATTCCTGTTGGATTGTCTAGATTCTTGAATTCAGTTCCCTTTGGTGTTGATATGATATTGAGACATATTCTATTCCTGTTCTAGATCCCGTAGAACCAAAAAAAGTACAAAAAAAAAATAGAAAAGGGAAAAACGAAGGGAACATTAATCTCTTGTTTTGTTTACATATATATTTTGCAGATGGCATAGCTTAAATTGAAATTGAAATCATATATGGCTAAGTCCAAGCATATGCCTCTTGATTTGACAAGAGACATAATTGGTCGATTATCCGATCCAAAAAGCTTATGCCGATTTAAGAGTGTCTCCAAGTCATTGTGTTCCATGATAGCTGCAATCAAGAGGGTAGACCTTGTAATTGTTAAAGCAGGCAAAGTGTACTCTGCGGATTTGGACTCACCCAGCTGTTTGAAACTGCTTATTGTCCCTGATGTAATCGAAGATAAGTACTCCTCTTTGACAATAGATGGTTCATGTAATGACCTCATTCTCTTTACCACAACTTGCAAGCTTATTCTGTGGAGCAAATTCTCTGGAGATTATCAGGTAGTTAGCCGAGCACCTGAGCGGATCCTATAATCTTCCGTAGCTGTTTCATTTCTAATATCTGGATTCGGATATGACCCTGTAAGTGATGATTACAAAGTAGCGGAAATCATGTGCTTTTATGATAAGGTAGATCTTCGGGGGCAATGTACCATAAAAATTTATACCTTTAGAAACAGGAGGACCCAGAGAAGATATCAAAGGAGGATTAGACCATTTCCTTATTACATCTATGACCGTGGTTATATCACAAGACAAGCGGTGCTTGTTGGCAGTGCACTGCATTGGGTCGCATATCGTGATTGCAATGGCAGAACACCACCTTTCGTGGTTGCTTTTGATCTCACCACGGAGGAGTTTTATGTGATTGAGTTGCCAGAAAAGACTAGAGCAACTGTAGTAGGTGCATTTGAGGGGTGCCTTACTGTCACACATCCAAAGGATGATGAGGTTGTGGATATATGGGTGATGAAGGAGTACATGGTGATGGCGTCTTGGACTCATCAGTTTAGGATCTCAATTCTTGACAAATCAAATGGTAGCCTTATTAACCCCTATCGTTACATGAGGCCTTTAGCTGCTTCCTTAAGGAATGGTAATAAAATATTGTTTCAGTCTGGACGTGGTCTTCTTTGGTATGATCCAGAAAATGATAAATTGGATTTTGTTGACAATAGTTGCCCTCAACTGAGGGATGGCATTAGTATAGCTCTGTGTTCATGGCCAACAGGCTAGTAGTCTAATAACAACTTCCTTCTAAACCAAGTAGAGAAGTCTTTAAGTTTGGATGGGGAGATCAAGTATGGGTGTTTATGTTAAGTAACATTGCTTCAATGATTACTTATGTGGTTTTCATGCTTCTTTGTTTACATCATAAATTGCAAAATTTTAAATTAATGCCACGTGTAAAATTTTTATTGGCTGGAGGAGTTTGAGCCATGTGGTGTTCCTAAATTAAACTAAACATGCTTATGGTAAAATCAAAAGTGCAATCTATTGACAGATTCATAAATTAAACTGCTGCAGATCTGGAAACAAAGGAGTGGTTGGGGTTTATCTAGAAAATTACTCCAGGAGATATTTATAAAGTTGCTTTTGAAGAGAGTTTGACATGTGGCATAAGTAATTATGGTGAGGGAGACAATTTCAAACTCCTCCAGCCAATAAAAATTTTACACGTGGCATTAATTTAAAATTTTGCAATTTATGGTGTAAACAATGGGAGAGAATTGCTTTTTCTTGTACAATCCAAAATTATTACTAAGCTAATGAAAAGATGTAATATTCAACTAGCAAGAAATTGAGTAAATAAAAATGTCAACTTTGTGCTTTTTTTTTTATTTAAAAATGTTAATTTTTTTAATTTTTAAATAAAAATATTAATTTTAATTTTTGTATT